TGCAGCTGTAAGGTTTATTTTACCGAAATATGGTTGCTGACTGCAAGTCCAGCCATACACATTTATACTACTCAGTGAAGAAAGGTCAGGGAAAAATTAACTCGTTCATGTGGCTTGATTCATCTAGTTGACCTTCCAGATGAAGGATCAGCAAATCAGTATTGTTAGTAATGTTAGTATTTGAACTTTTACTGTGCTCCGACTTGTAAGAACAGAGAGAGTGAGAGTTAACAATAAAGAGAGAGAGAGAGGGAGGAGAAGAGGGCTATTGATGAGTACGTTTGTTCTACCTTAAAAATCACAGATGCATACCTTGTTCCTGGATCTCTGTTATTGCTGGGTGCTTTAATGAAAAACTACTTGTCCAGAGATTATAATGGTTTTGTTCGTCTTAGCTCTCACTCATAGAATCTGAGTGCATCATCACGCCCATTTTATTCTCCCACCTCCGGACCTTATTCCATTAAATTTCTGATGTTGAAGTTCTCAGACTGTGTTTAACACAGTCTGGATTAATTTGAGTGTTAAAAGTATAGATCTGAATGCGCATGTGTACTCTTCCACCATGAGAGGGTCTGCACCTTTTGCTGCTGTGCGTCGGGAGTACAGTCGAACCTGCCGAAGATGACCACAAATTTGTCGAGAAAAGAAAAGATCGTTAAGATGGGTGGTCCCGTGGATAGTGTCTTGTTTGTACAGATGGTTGTTTTTGAACAGATGGTCGCTGGAATAAGTTCGACTGTATTCGTTATTTCTCACAACCCACTTATGGAGACCACTTTGTTCAAGAAAGAAAGAGAGAGAGAGAGAGAACTCAATACAGGACAGATTAGCTGGCAGAATAGAGCAATAAAAGAAAATCTGAACCTGGCGGTAAGATAACCTGCCTCTGTGATGTAAATGTTAAGCTCTGTACCTTGCTTGCGGAAGATTGACTGGACTCAGAACCACTGCATTGCCGTTGTCTTAGCTGACAGTGATAGGTTGAGCCAGAGCAGCCAACATTCTAAATGTCTAAATTGGGTTGATGGGGGGTGTGAAACATTTACTATCAGTCAGTGAATGAAAACGTGCAATCTATCTGTCAAACTGAGCCTAGATCGGGGGGGAGAAGAAACACGCGAGTGAAGTCTCCCTCCTCTTCAGAGGCTGATGCCAAGTTTAAGTGGTATGAATATATGTATTATTTTGCGGAAGGCGGGATAATTGCATTTTGGGTTTTTTTAAGTACTTGCGAATTGCACCCAACAGCATTTGACTCCGGTGGTTCAGCGGATATATTCATAACCTAGGTCTTGTGTTCCTTTGAGGATGTCATAAATTTTAAGTCAAAATGTCTGATTTATAAAGAACATTGTGAATGTAATAGAGATTTGTCCTCGTTGCGTTAAAGAAGAGTGTCATAATGCCAAAAAATAGAACATTTTGATTTACCGTTTGTCAAATAATCAATGGTTCTTGTTGTGAAGATTAATTATGAATACATCACTGGTCTGTTTTTTGGGCTTTTGCTTTTTCTAAGGATTATTCTTTCATTCTTCTGGGGGAGTTTTATTCCATTCCATGTTCTGTATATTTTCTGTTGTTATGCTGGATGCAATATTGGTCGCATTTTTTCCAAAAAGTATTTGTTTTTTTGTATATGATGTGCATATATGTACGTTCTGTCCAAGTGTGGCACTTCCAAGTCGCATTTGAGGAAAAACTGTCCACTTGTCTCACTCCAACCCATGCCTGTGTAAAGAACATTTCAGATTACTCAGTTGTTTTTAAAAATGCCAAAGGGTCAGTGTGAGTGAGGAAAGGGAAGATCGTAAAAAATCATCTGCCTTTTCTTATTACAAGAGATCATGATAAGAGTTGTTGGAATTACCTACTGAACATGAAGATTAGAGTATTTAGAGTGCATGTGTCTGTCAGGTTGGTGAAAAAAAAAAAAGGCAATTAATTTCCAATTACAGATTAATTACTAATAATGATGATTAAATCGCAATAACTAATGAGTTTCTGAGAATGTTGATACACTCATGAACGATACTTTCTCAAAATAGCAATTAAGATCCAATTTGACTCTTGTCGTCTTGTGGCACAAGAAAGTTGTAGTTTTTATATATATATTATCAGGTGTTCTGTGCTGGTATTTCCGATAGAGTAAGCGGTAAAAGTAAAA